GACCCACCTGGGATTCCTGCCGTAAGAATCCACAGTTTCTTGCCACAGGAATTCCAAGACACCCATGTGAATAAGGCCTTAAAGGTGAATAAGCAGCAAACATATTTAACGTTACACAACAAGTCCAGGTTAACATTTGAAAATACTAGCAAAGCACTAACAATTGTACTGTCTTATGTCTGGGAATAGTGCCAAGGTGATAGATATATTTTGTACTAGCTAATGAGATTTCTCTTACACTTGTTGCTGATTTATTGTGGCTGGTGACAAGCATCGAAGCACCTATAAGTGCAGTCTCATTCATCTTCAGGCTGTCTCTCCTGTAGCTCAGTGCAGTACACTTTACCTTAGACTCATGCAGCCAGGTGCTATGACTGTGATTGGGAAAATGGGTCATAAACCTGTGCATGTCATAGAACAGATGATGTTTTGCCTTTTCTCAAAACAGGCACATACCAAAGGGAAATGGGAGATTTGTTTCTTTTCTTTTTCTCTTTTGACTGATGCCAGATGGGAGCTCTTGTCTGATTGCATCTTAGCAAGCAAGCAGTGGAAGCATGCTAGTGAGAGAGATCAGGTTACTTATCATTCTGGCATGCTCGGCATTCTTGGATTAATCTATTTAATAATATAGCTAGAATTAAATTTTTTCAGGCATTTTGTCATTTGATGCAGATTGATTGACTGCCCTAATGCATTTATATCTATATCCACATATTATACATACATATTATATTGTTGTACATTGTGTACTGGATGAGGGGACTGTGCTTTGGCAGCTGCAGATCCAGTCTGCTGGAGACTATGGGTGCTGCAGCTCAGCCACACCGTTGCCACACTTAGTGTCACCAAATATAAACTGAATTCACCAAAGTTTATGGAGATGGTGCTGGCAACATGGTTTCTCCTAGATCTGTAAGGCCCTGCACATTAATCTTTGATTCCTGTTGCTATTCTGGTTACTCTCCTGGCCTGCTTAATGTTTGCTTGCTGCATATACCCGATCTGGATCTTTCTTAATGCCGAACTCCTGGTAAATGGCTAAATACATTTGCACCCTGGACTAGTACTAGTACTCAGATACTCCCCTGTTCAGAGCTCAGTCAGAGCAGGACTTGCAATCAGTAACACATTTTGGGCATTATATGGCTATCTGTTCAGACTTGTGATAACAGCACCTGGCAGAGGAAAGTCTTCCAGCATCAATTACTTTCACAGTTTGTGGTTGTTATGCGCCCCAATGCTGAGAGCTAGAATGCAAAACTCTGTAGCCTGATACACTCGTTTGTATAACAAAAAAGTTGAATGTTAAGAATTATTTGTAATGACTGCATAGTATTTTATTTAGATGAGTTCCTTTAATTTTCATAGGTCAGCAGTCATCTTTCTCAGCTCATAAAATACTTTTTTATAGCTCTCTCTTGCTAACCCCTTTTTTTGCAAATATGTGCAAAAGGGCCTGTGACTGCACACATTGCTTGTTCGCACATGAGCACATGAATGGCTTCTTGTGTTGCTTTTCCTTGTCCCAGTCCGAGCTCTGTTGTTCTGGGAATTGCAAAAGGCTAATACTGAGTCAAATTCAAGTACTTACACTGCTTGCATTATGTTTAATGATGTATCAATAAATAAAGAGCGGCATTCATTTGTGTGTTTATACCTGCCTGGAGTCCAACTTTAATGATTCCAACTAATTACAACCTGATTGTTTACAATGTATTCATTGACTTAACACTTGCATATAGACTTGGTAAAGGCACTTAAATCATTTCCCCGCACATCAGTTGTTGCTAGTGAAGATAACCTGAGGGTTGTAAGCTGGCAGCAAAAAGCATGCTTCTAATCTGGGGTTAATAGTGAAGTATTGATACTACTTAAGCTAGCAGCAGACAGAAAAGGGAGGTTGGGCCTGCAGAGATGAACTGACTAGTCAATTATATAGGTGCATGGATATTTATGCCTATGCCAGTGGGAGCCCACCAAAATATGTTTGGTAATTATTTATCTTTGTGGGGGTGGATGTAGTAGTTTGGAGTCCTCCAACACCCATATCAGTATTTCTTCTGAGGTTGGACAGTGTGGGGTGCCAATAGACACATGGTGGTTATTGTCACATCCAGTTTAAATCAGCTGTCATGGGCTGGAACAGGCAATGATCATGTTCTGTGCATCATGTCCTGACTTTGTACCATATGAACCCTGCAGCATCCACAAGTGATACAGAGGGTTCTTACTAACCGAAGACATGAGCATGTGAATGTACACTTCAAATCTCAGAAACCCCCCCCTAAAAACTCCAATAAATTTAATTTGAAAATCATTGCCTTGGGATTATATTTGATCTTTGGATGTAAGCCTAACAATTGAAGCAGTAATGAGTTTTCTTATTAGAGTACTGTATTAAAACTTTATTGGACATTTTTTATATTAGTAATTCATAAAAATATATAAAGCATCACTTCATAACCTTGTAAACTTTCAAACAAATGGTTTAGTAAAACTGTTTAAAAGAAAATACATCTTTGTGCTGTCTCATTGAAGGAAAACCCATGCAAAATACAAACATGTTATCATTTTTTAGTGCAAGTTACTATAAAATCTCAAGTAATTGCTTTAACAAAATAATATTTTTCAGTAGATTGTCAACAGTATTTTTAAAACACAGTTATTTATTGTGACTCCATGAAGAGATCTTGGAAAGCATGCCTTATTTATAATAAATGACCATATATTAAACAAAAGTAATGTGCTGATTGGTGACCGCAGTCCGTATTACGTTTGACCGCTTTCCAAAACTTGTAAATTTTTCTTGGAGGTCAGTGGGAAGCATACATCCATCACACCAATTTATCAGTCCAGTTTGATGGTGTGCAGCCTTACAATTGTCTTTTTTTTTTTCTGCTGAGCTTAGAGAATTCATACCCTTGAAAAGCTGAAGAGAGTCAGTATATGGCAGAAGAAAAAGTGTTGTTCCATTTGAGAGGTTATATCTGCAGTACTAAAGAAAATATATTGTACCTTCCAAGTTGGGAGGTTGTCTAAAAATGTTTCTTTAATGTGTCTTGCAGCATACAACAAAATGTTTAGTAGGCCTCACATGAATGAGTATGAAGGAAAACAGTATACAGTAGTATAATATTGGATAGTATACTGTTATAGATCCTTTAGACATATATTTTAAGTCACCCTTCTTTCCTGATGACACGGATGTTGTTCTGTGAAACGTGTTAAGAACATGATGAAGAGGAACCACAGTATCATGTGCTTATCATCTTCACACATACCTGAACTTGTGGAAAATGGTTTATTAATTTCCCTTGAGCTATTGGAAAGTTGTTAAATGATATTATGTATAATTATGGATCAATACACAGATGGTTTGTATTAGAAACTTATAGTGTCATGAAAAGTTCAACTACTACTCTTGCTACCTCTTTGAATCATCATCTCTTTTCACTGGTCAGGTGTAGGTTGAGGGAAGGCAAGACCTGTAAGTTTATCTTAAAGTGACACTAAACTCAGGAGTTAAATCTTAAAAATGCATTCAAGTACCTTAATTATTAGTATAAATGTATCTTATTTGTGTATCACTCGGCTGTAGATCCTCAAATTATCTCTGAATTCATACTGACACTGTCCTTCCTTCTGGAAGGTGGATACTTTTCTCCCCCATGGCCTTTGTGTGTGTTGTAAAGTAGTGATGGACTATAATCTTCATACGAATTAGTAAACTAAACATGAGTTTGTAGTCCATCACAGGAGAGGTGGCTACTTTACAACACATGCAGGGACCATGGGGAACAAAAGTAGCCACCCTCCAGAAGAAAGGACAGTGTCAGCAACAATTCATAGATTATTTGAGGATTTACAGCCGAGTAATATACAAATAAGTTACAATTTTATGAACAGTTGGGGTACTTCAATGCATTTTTAAGATTCACCTCCTGAGTTTAGTGTCACTTTAATATCAGCAGCGAAAAATCAACTCTTCTGCCTTGTCAGACAGGGTTGTCCTGTGGGGTAGAGCTATGTAAATGCCAGAACTGGTTGGACAAAAATACAAATTCTTTGGTATATAAAACAGCTCTCATGTATATGTTTTACGGTTTGCCTGAAGCTCAGCTTTAAAATGCAGTAGCGTTCATATACATCTTTGTGACCATGTTGCTAGGAACAACTCAGCAATGGTATGCACACTTTCATGTTTTATGTTTGCACTCTCATGTGTATGCATGTGCACTAAAATATTTTACTAGGCTGCCCTATAATATTGTCAATGGGGATAGTAATACTAGTGAAAAATATAATAAAGTAACACTGATTCCCAGCTGTCGATTACTGTCACTAGACAATACTGAACCAAAATGTATTAAATATATAGAGTTCTATATCTGTCTGTAATATCTGTCTGTATCTAGGCTGAATTGTAACCTTGCTGACTGAGTGTTATCGAACCTTATGCAGCCACCCCTCGAGATAGGGCACTCGTTCCTGATGTGGATTCAGTATATTACGGACACATCTGTTATTGTGTCATCAAGATGGATTCAATCTATTGGCAGTTTTATAAAATATTTAGCAAACTCTATTTATTTGTTTATTTACATGTATTTAATTCAGACATACCAAGGCAGTGGAATAGCTCTTACAGCCTGTTGTGGATTTTTCACCTAATCCTTCAGCATGGCGAGCCATTCCCTCTGCTGAACAAAAACGCCATCTGTTGTACTTCGAGTTCCCTGAAAAGCTTCTATTATTTTCACTTTCTCTTTAACAAGGTCATATTTTTTGAATCTATATTTCTATATAGCAACTTTTCTACAGTATATAACACATTTACTAATGCATTTGCAGTTTTTGAAAAGGTATTTTGAAAAGACTCAACTTTATCTTGTTCTACTGTGGCCGCTGTATCCAAAGTTGGATTTTTGGAATAGGAAGTTTAAACTTTGTACAGTAAAATCATAGTTTAAATAATGCTTATGTTTTGTTTAATACAGAATGGCTTTACACCACTTCACATTGCCTGCAAGAAGAACCGGACTAAAGTAATGGAGCTTCTGCTGAAGCATGGGGCATCTATTCAGGCAGTCACAGAGGTAAATGACAACATTGCTGTTGGTAGTAGTAGTGGTATATAAAGTAATAGTTGTAGAATTAACAACATTATATCCATTTAGGGAGAGGATCTGTAACAAAGATAACAATTAACTTTTCAAAATGCTTAAACGTTTGCTTCCTCTCTTCGCCGGAGGTGCCTTTAAATACATATATTTACAATGTTAAACTGGTCATACACTTATGATTGAAAAGAAGGGTTTCAATTGGGTCAAACACTATTTGGGTCCTGTTGATTTTGTCCGAAATTCAAGCACTGTGTGCCAGGCATTACATTGTATTAGTTTGATTTATGTTTCCACTTTCAGCTTGTCAGTTTGTAATTACATTCTGCAGAAACCAATGGCGTAATTTATTTACAATTACACATGAAGGAGGTGGAGATATAGCCCATAGCCACGAATTAGGGTCTAGCTGTCACTGTGCGCTGGTTAGGAAGCACACTTTTTTTTTTACTGACTTATTTTGCCGTCCTTGTACCACAGTGGGTTTATCCCATCTATTAATATTGTTTTCGTTGGTTATCCATATTATATTTCTATTAATTTCTACTTGATATCTCTTTTTTATGTACAGATGTTTCTTTTGAACTACATCTAATCAGATTTTCCATTTTGAGAGGGGTGGGAAAGGGTTTTATTCACTGCCCTGGCTTCATAGCTCTGAGATCCCAACTATCGTACATTGCCCTTAGGAATATATGAAGAATTCACAGGTCACTGACAAGTAATTGGCTGAAAGGCCAAGGTGTTTTGAGTGGAATTACTCTTTAGGGCAATGGGCAAAAGTGTACACTATTCTATAGTAACCAATATGATTTCAGCTTTAGGATAATAAGATTGTTCAGATGTTACTGCTTGCTATGGCTTGTTTAATGTTGCACATTGCCTTTTGTCTTAATAAAGACCATGATATGGTTGCTTTGAATTTAGGGAAATGATTGTTGATTCCCATGTATGCTTTATGTCTATAATTGTGTGTTTTATTTCATGTGTAGTCTGGACTGACGCCAATCCACGTTGCTGCCTTCATGGGACATGTCAATATTGTTTCCCAGTTAACGCATCATGGAGCATCACCTAACACAACTAACGTGGTGAGTATCTGAGTGGTGAGTAACATAAACTCTTTAAGGAGACCTGTATTGAGAGGAATATGAATAGGAAAAGGTCCTTATTTCCTTTGGAAAATGCCAGCTGCTTGGCTGCCTCTGAATTCATTAGATTCGGCCTCTCACACCCGGAAGAAGCATGCAACTGAAAGCGAGTGAAGTAAAAACTCCTTTTGGGTTAGGGACTTAGAAATGTCACTCAGCTGAATCAGAATGACAGACAGGAGAAACTGATAATGAATGTGTGCTAATATCACGAGAGCACACAAATTGGGGGAATAAGTGTAGATCAGATTGTTTATTCAGACATGTTTAGAGTGATTAAGAGAAGAGAGAAGAAGAGGTCACTCATTCACAGGTTGCTCTAGATATTTGCTACTTACGATAAAAATAAATGGTTTGCTCTCCTATAATTGGTTCTATTGCTCCAAAGAAGCCATTGGAACCTAATTAAAGATTATATCCTTTCATGTATAGCTACATTTACTACCCCCTTTTAAATTACGTGTTTGTTGGACAGGTACTAGCATTAATACGCCACTGAAGGTTACATAATAGAATTGTAGGCATGTAGTAGTATATGAACAGACCGCACTATCCAGAGAATTCCAATACTTCAGACTTTATTGAAATTCACAGCAAACCAGTATAACAGTGAATTAAAGTGTATAAAGCAGCAAATGCCAGCAATGCAAACCCCCAACCAGCTACAACCTCTCACTTGTTTCACACGTAGGCTTATTTATCTCACCTCTATGAATAAGCCTACGGGTGAAACATGTGAGAGGTTGTAGATGGTTGGGGGTTTGGGGTGCTGGTATTGACTGCTTTATAAACTTTAATACACTGTTATACTGGATTTGCTGTGAATTTCAATAAAGGCTGAAGTATTGGAATTCTCTTGATAGTGCGGTCTGTTCGTATACTACTACATTCTAAGGTGGAGACGCACCTATTAGACCAGCATAGGTAGGCATCTTTGCCTAGGGCAGTACCAAATTTTCTGATCCTCAGAGAGGTGTGCATATAATTACACAGGCCTGGTTAGGCCAGGTATGGTAAGAATTGGGTTCAGTTTAGCTAAATTAAATTGAGATCACCATTTTACCATTTCATAATTTGGGTATTTGAAATGTTGGATGACGAAAAGCCTAAAATATGTTTATTTCTGGTGCAGTACTGTTTAGCATAGATCATTTACATAATTTTTGTTTCCAGAGAATGTTTTTTAGGTCAGCTTTTTTTGGCTTCAGCGATTACAAATTGCTTTAGTATGATGACGCAGAAACGCAGTTTTCAGGATTATATTTTAAGTAAAATAAAATAGGAATTTAAATGTAGGATATTGATTATATTTTTTAGTAAGCTGTTTCACTGATGAGTCCTCTGCATTTGTGGTAATATTAGATCTGCGGATCCTTTTGAATAAATTATTTTCTGCTGTTGCTGCAGCTGTTTTTCCTGGATATTTGTATACGGTCTGGTGACTAATAAATAGCAGTCTGGGAACTGATTTTCACTACTGATTGCGGTCATTTTTGTGGGCTGTAGTAAAGAGTCAGTTTTTGTAGGTGGAAAAAGTTCACTTGTTTTTATAAGACCAGACTTAAATCTTTGACTTTTGGTTCTTTCTCCTTAAAGAGAAACTGTAGTATATTTTCATTGAGTGCAAATGTTGAGTTATAATTGCACTTTTTACATTTTTAATCTGACTTTTACATTTTTGCATGCTTGGTTTTGCAAATTTGTATAACTGTCAGATCAGTTTCCATCATCACTTTGCCTTTCTGCTTAACAACTGTTAAGATAAGATATTGAACACATAGGGAGTTGTTGGACAATGACCCATAGGCTTGCACTATACAAAGGAGCAGTAAAGCACAGCTATTGTGTAGTACTGCAAGGCTGGAAGCAGAGTCTATGTATGCAATAAGCAATTATAGTCCCTAGCCTCGTGTACAAAAATAATTACAAATTTAAGAAAAACAAGGGTTTTTAAAACACTAAAGCACAGCACACACTTTACAATCTGACTGCAAAGTTGCTCAATCAACTTTAGATTTACCAAAACTATGTAATATGAGGACTTGCTTAAACTATTCAATCAATCTGAATCCAACCAGGTAGGCCCTTTTACTACATAGCTGTTGGTAGATCTAAAGGAGATTGTACAGTCAGATTGTAACGTTTAACACAAATTGATGAGATTAATTACGTCTAGCTGATTTCACTTATCTAAAACAGTTTGAAATGACTATGCATACCATTTAAATTGTCTTCTGATAAATGGTACATATTCAAGCACAAGGGTGCATCAAACACACACTATGAGAGTCCAGAACAGTATTTTATTGATTCCACAATTATGAAAAAAATGGCAAGAGATAGTCAGTGTGATTTGTGGGCTCAACAATCCATCAGGACTTAGACAATTTCTTGCAAAATAATGCAAGGAGACTCTAACTCAGGAGCCTGTATATCCAGGCCAGGATTGAGTAGTCATGAACTATCACAAATAGACAGCCTTGCAGTGGGTTTTGGCGCTCCTTGTGCTTGAATACATAAAGATTTTCTAAACTGGGTGACCCATGGATTCGAGGAGACCCCAATTTTGTGGGTAGTAGCCATACCTAGGGAACCGGGCAGAAATATAGATACTCCATCAGCCACCTATAAATACTGATCCAACGCCTCGTTTTCACCGCCAATTCTGATAAATAGTAGACCGGGATTAAAATGAAGTTCATATATTTCCCCCTAATTGTTCTACTAATATGCCATCCACAAAACTGTTACATAGGTATTCTACATTTTGTCACAGTTTTACTTCTCTTGCTTTTGCTGGACTGTTGCTATCTATAAAACATCATAGCAGGGGTATAAGCTTGTGAACAGCGCTTACTGTCATAAACAAATATATATAACAATTATGAAATAAAAAACTGGGTGCATTTACTGAAATTATTAATTTAAAGGAGAACTATGGGGTTAAGGCTTTTCCCCATAGTTCTCCTCCACATACTAGCGTCCTGCCGTCACCCTAGGCTCTGTATACTGCAAGCTGTAGCTCGCGGTATACTGAGACGCTGCAGTATACCGCGAGCTGCTGCTCGCTGTATACTGAGACACCGCAGCTGAAGCGGATTCCGACAATTGTGCCGTGATGCGCCCAGCTGCATGAATGACAGCTGGCTCTGCCTATCTAGAGGCAGAGCCCCCTCCCCCGTCCGTTCCGCCAGTCAGCGCTGGCGGATCGGAGCGGGGAGGGGGGAATCCAGCCCCTCCCCTGTCACGGTAGAGAGCCATGACAGGATCGAGAGGTGAGCGAATGCCGGTATGTGTTTGCTCACCTTCTGATCTACTGAGCCGACCTATGACAGTCTCATTGTCACAGGTTGGCTAGAACTATGAGGTGAGTGAAAAGCCCTCACCTCATAGTTCTTCTTTAATGGAATAAAACTTGAATCTAGATCTGGTATACAAGAGCAGTTATTTCTTTACTACAAGGTATGTGTTTATGTGTGTTGAATAGACTCTAATCAAAATGCTTATGTGAGACATGATAGTGTTGTGAGTGACTTCCTATTAATTTTAGTTATCTTTTTTGTAATGAATGCTAGAAAATGAAAAGAAGAATGTAATTACAGTAGGCAATAGAGACACTCCCAGCTCAGATACTTGATGGACGAGGCCCGCTGTGATATTTAATGGTGATTAAACTGTATGTTTGAATGTTGCAGAGAGGAGAGACTGCGTTGCATATGGCCGCCAGAGCGGGTCAGTCAGAAGTTGTCCGATACCTTTTGCAAAATGGAGCTCAAGTAGAAGCTAAAGCGAAGGTAAGTCAGGGATGACTGTTTCCAACATTTTTTTTGTGCCATTTAGAAAATGAATCTGGACTAAAGAAAACCACGTACTATACAGGAATACATTACTGACCCTTACATAATAATTTTTTCCCCCATTTATTTATATTCATTTAATGTGATGTACAGTAACATCGACACACTCTGATACCTGCCTGCTCCACTGTCATTTGGCTAGTTCGAATTTAAACATGCTTGCACGTATGCCTACCTTTTATAATGTCATATTGTCACACTGTCAGGGTTATTCACAAAAGGGTGAAGAGTTTGGAGAAAGCAGGAGAAGTGAACAATCTAGGACAACATAGCTGAACTGGAAAGTGAGCTGAATTGGAGAATTTTTCCAAATCAGCTATGTTGTCCTAGATTGTTCACTTCTCCTGCCTTCTCCAAACTCTTCACCCTTTTGTGAATAACCTTGTGTCTTGACCTGAAATTACTAGGTGCCTAAATATGATGTCCCTGCATTCCAACTATTTTGCCCACATTTCTGCCATAGCTCATCCAATCCCATGCAGCTCTTTTTTTCTGAATCCCTGATCTCAAAATTTACAGTGGATAGATGAACATTACTCTGTCTTATGCACATTCTGCATAAGTTGTTTGCCTGTACCTATTAACTGCAAGTAAGTACAGTCCATAGAGTACCATACATAGGTTCTAAAGTTCCCCTGCTCTTCACATTACATACAGCAGCCTGAATATGGCCTTTTATTAAAGAAACAATATAGTTAAATAGATAATCTGATCACTTTTTTCAAGTGAGGGTTTTTTGACTGTTTTGAGGGCAATAATAATATGTGCCTGTTATATTCTTCCACTCTTGGTTTACAGGGACAAGGTTGGCTTGTAGTGTCAGGGCAGGTGACCAGAACCAATTAGCAGGATACTAGGGTAATACGGCAACAGATTTGAGTGCTACTGCTTGGAAATAGTGATGATAGACAGGTCTTATTTTCTGGTTACAATTTAATTTTAAGAATTTGTAGGCTGTACACCATGAGGCATGTGAAGTGCACTAGCTTGTTTGTGGAATCAACTGAGGAAAGAATTGTCTAAAACAATGTGCGTTTCTCCTTAGTAACTAGTCAGATTTGTTCCTTCTTTCACTTTAAACAGATAATCAAATTGGTTGCTTTGGGACTGACACTTCCTTGCATAATTATATCCTGGTGCATATGTTTTCAGCTGACCCAGTACAAAATAGTATAATATGAGCGTAATTATGCCTTTGCACTTGAGTTTTTGCTACAGTTTGGGAATGTTTAACGATCTGTCATTCTTCATCTCTGTGTTTAGGATGATCAGACACCTCTGCACATATCAGCTCGATTGGGAAAAGCAGACATAGTTCAACAATTACTTAAGCAAGGAGCATGTCCAGATGCATCAACAACATCTGGCTATACTCCACTGCACCTGGCTTCCAGAGAGGGACATGATGATGTGGCTTCTGTTCTACTGGACCATGGAGCTTCCTATTCTATAGTCACAAAGGTCAGTTATTGCTGCTTAAATTCAGTGCTGTGGGATGAATTTATTCCTAGACTCATATCACTGTGGAAACGTGCAGTATAACTACTATCAGTGAGAGATGTACATGAAATTCACCACCCACCTAAACAGATAAGTGATTTCAGTTACTGCTTACCTTTTTATATCTCTTCTATAGGTTCACACAGGTATAATAGAATGATTGTCTAATCACCAACAGTCAGATTGGGGAACATTTGTATGTCTTTAGGTTCCCCTGATGCTTTATGAGTTGGGAAATAGCTGGATTTTTGCTGCCAATTGCTTTTGCTTTTCCTCATGAAAACTGGCTCCTGCACAGCTCTTCTCCCTTCTTTATATGCACACAAATGTTTTCCTGATGTAAACTGCGTGTTTATATAATTGTTCATAGACACAGACCGTGCATCAATGGCCAGCCAAAGTCTATAGGTTTTCTAAAATTAATATGTATTCAGTTTATTGACATTCCAGCATTTACATATCCTAATAAGCAGTAAAATGTGTTTTTAAACAAGCTCTCACTGACCTCTGTAGCTGCAGACACTGTGAAGCAGTTCATCCACAGCAGAAGCATTGAAAGTCATTCAAGTCGGCTCTCTCAGCAGCTCCCTCACCCTGCTCTCCCCTGTGTTTATATGTGGGATTATATGTGGGATGAACCACAGCTGATGGGGAAGCAGAGAGCGCTGGAAAGGCTTCTAAAATGACTACAGTACTTTTCCTGTAAAATTTAAGGGTAAATTGTTCCACAGTGTGTGCAGCTACAGAGGTCAATGATGGCTTGTTTTAAATCTCATTTGCTGCCTCTTAAGAATATATAAATACTCGAATGTCCATATCTTGGCCATAGGCTTAGTTTAATTTAATATACGCCCACTGTCTGCCTACCTGCTCTTGACTACTAGCAAGGTTGTTATTCTCCCATTGCTGGATTTGTCACATTTGACATTATGAGGAATGCAGCTTGGAGGAGTAAGATTCTTTTTCACGGCTTGATAATGGCAGCGGCATAGACTTTGGCAGATAATTTTATGCACATGGTAGTTTTACAAGTGAATTCCATGTACATGGTAGCAGTGTTACAAGTGAATTCTATGTACATGGTAGCAGTATTACAAGTTAAATCCATGTACATGGTAGCAGTATTACAAGTTAATTCCATGTACATGGTAGCAGTATTACAAGTTAATTCCATGTACATGGTAGCAGTATTACAAGTTAATTCCATGTACATGGTAGCAGTATTACTAGTGAATTCCATGTACATGGTAGCAGTATTACAAGTGAATTCCATGTACATGTTAGCAGTATTACAAGTGAATTCCATGTACGTGGTAGCAGTATTACAGGTGAACTTGCACTTTTTACTTATTTCATATTACACAAAATATAGCAGATGGAGTTTATAGTGCTTTGGTTTGATGCAAATTGGCTCTGGCATAATCTTAGCAGGAGGAAGTGTAACCTTACATCGGCCTGATACATATACAGTAGGTAGCCAGTGAATTAATCAGTCCACCCACATCCATTCATGTCTGAAATATCAGTTTTAAATGGCCTGACTCTTTAATGGAAAATAAATTATAGATGAATAAAAATGTCAAATGTGAGCAAACATGGAAACCGGTTTAACCATGGGTAAAATGTATGTTTACAGAAAGGATTTACTCCTCTACATGTCGCTGCAAAATATGGGAAGCTTGAAGTTGCCAAACTGCTATTACAGAAAAGTGCATCGCCAGATGCTGCAGGAAAGGCGAGTATAGATCTATGTCATTGACTGACATTGTCCAAAAATGGCTTTTACCAAGTACAAACAGGAGGAGTCAGGAGTGTGTGTGTGAAAGATCCCCACCAGTGCTGTTATTACAAGCTGGCCATACACACAAAGACGGCATCATTTTAGAGAAAGAGTTGTATCCTGCAGAAATCAATTGCACTTAACATCAGTTCAATTAATTGTTTTCTTTACAAAATAAATGTTAGTTTCCTGCAGGAAATTAACCTTGCTGAGTGACAGGGTGTATGACTGCTCACACATTTGAACATTTCAATAATCTACTATTACCTGTATGGGAAGCATTAGATGCCATCAGACTATAGATTAATTCAGCATATGAAATGATTGAAGTGCATATATATATATATAT